ACACGTCCCCCGCGTCCCCCGCGTAATCTACGCCCCTGGTGTATATAGCATATAGACCTACAATAATACGAGTGAGATGTATTTAAATCAAACGTAGGCGCCAAAGAAACCCTAAACAAACCAGGCCATGCCATTGATCCGCTGCGCCACGGTCTCACACTGCGCTTTCACATGCGCGCGGCTCTGCGTACTTCAGACCAGACCTAACGAGCAGATCGTGGTCAACAATTAGTCCTAATTAAATCGCCCATTGATGAGTTTACACTCTCCACATAAACCCAACAGACTGGCTCCAGCATGTCTGGGTTGTGTGCGTGCGTGCGTGTGTGTGCGTGCGTGCGTGCGAGTGTGTGTGTGTGTTCAAGCGTTGTTTCAAACAGTGGAGCTGTGATAAAGTGTGTTAGTATTGATCACCTTCTAATATCAGCCCATTGATAACATTAAGAGTGACTAGCTAGGTTAATAACTCATAATCATTTTGCAAAATCAATCATGCAGGTTCATAGAGAGATGATAATGATGATGATGATGATGAATAAAATAATGATAATAAATGCATTTATTTGTATCTTGATGTTGCATTATGGCTTGTTTAGATGAGTGTTTTGGTTTCTGGATTCATTAAATCATCAGTAAATAAATAAATAAATAATTTAATGCAACATTATATGATACTATTTATATATTTATTTATTTATTGTTGCATTAGGTTCTTCAGATGAGTGTTTTTGGTTTCTGGATTCATTAAATCACCAGTAAATAAATAAATGAATAATTTATTTTGAACATGTAATGCAACATTATATGATACTATTTATTTATTTATTTATTTGTTTGTTTGTTTTTGCATTAGGTTCTTCAGATGAGTATTTTGGTTTCTGAATTCATCAAATCACCAATAAGTAAATAAATGCAGTATTTATTTATTTATTAGAACATGTAATGCAACATTATATCATGCTATTTATTTATTTATTTATGTATTTAATTGTTGCATTAGGTTCTTCAGATGAGTGTTTTGGTTTCTGGATCCATCAGTGAGTAAGTAAATAAATAAATAAATGTATTTAGATCTTGATGTTACATTATTCTGTAGATTAGTATTTTGTTTCTGGATTTATTAAACCAACATTCTTTCTTTCTTTCTTATGTCGAATTTTAGATTCTTCAGAGTATTTTGATTTTATAGAGTAATCATCAGTAGCCCTGTATTTTTATTTATTTTTTATTAAGAATTAAAATATTTAGTGGAAGTTAAAACGGCTGCAACATATGTTTTTTTTAATGAAATTGAACATGTGCATGGAATTTATCTCATAGGTCTTAAATTTAATTTGATCTCATATCTCATTTTTATCCTCAGTTAATCTCATCGGTTTAGTATCTCTCGCTCTATATTTTTAAAATGCATGCAACTATCCACAGGTAGCCTAGATTTATAATTCAGCATCTCCGAGTGCCTCATTCAAACTCAGTGGCGGGAATAAACTTCAAACCCCTAATATGTGAAGATGCATTTAATGTAATAAACAAGCACAGATGGGCCAGATTCGAGCATGATGGGGATCAGGACTTAATCCGACTCCGCCCAAAGCCGCCGCTCTCTTTCATCTTCACTTCATCAGCTGATGGAGGACGGCTTGTCTTGAGTGGATGATGTTCGTCTATTGATTATATCAGTGCATCGATGACTCTTCTCAGGTACTTGAGGCTCAGACTCGCTGGCGCCTGGATATCACAAGTACACCGAACGTGTGAACAAGCCCATTGCGACATCTATTAACTTCAATTACAGAGTTATAATTTAACTTTACTCATGCAAATGAGCGGAGAAGCGCCTATAACGTTCAAATTGTTAGGAGGAAGCATCATGCTCAAGAAGTTCTCCGTGGAGTGGTTGTCCCAGAGCTTGCATGCACAAGATCTGGAGCAGGAGAAACGCGCCACGAGCTCCTCCTGATGCCTTCAGTGGTGCTCCTCAAGCGTCTTCAGAAATGGCTGGAGAAGGAGAAACCAAGGCCCCGTCTTCTCCTACAAGTACATATGACCTTCTCACGGTGGTTTTCAGTGTTCAGATAGCTGTGGCTACACCTCGGCCTCCGAGAGCGATGCAGGAGAGCGGCGCGTCGCAGCGGCGCGTCAGAACCAGATCTCGCGTCTGGAGAAGACCTTCAGCAAACACAGATACCTCGGTGCGAGTCAGAGACGGACAACAGCGGAGAAGCTGCAGCTGTCTGAGACTCAGGTATAGGCTATGCGTGAGGGGAGGTTGCCAGAAAAATAACTATTGTAATATTTTGTTGTATGAACTTATATTAATAATGAGTAAAGGAGTCAAATGCATTTGTCACACTTCGGAGCTATTTATGTGAACTGCAATATATCATGTTTTCATATAAATAAACTATTAAATAAATTATTTAACAAATAAACTATTTATTTAATTACTTATTTAATTATTCATATAAATAAATAATCAAATACGTAATTAAATTATTCATGCAGAACATATTAGGCGATAATGCACTGTATGATACTATTTATTTATGTATTATCCTATAATGCAACATGAATAAATAAATAATTAATTAAATACTTTACCATTTAAATGAATACTTATTTATTTATATTTGAACTTGTAATGGAACATTATTTGATACTTTTATAAATATATAAATATAAAAATAGTTATTTATTTACTTACTTACTGAAGATTTAATGAATCCAGAAACCAAAATACTCATCTGAAGAACCTAATGCAACATACATACATAAATAAATAAATATAAGTTTTTAGAATTACAAGTCGCTAAAAGCAGGAAAGAATTTGCAAACAGATTTATTTATTATAAACATAATGCAGCATGGATAAATAAATAAATAATGAATTAAATACTTTACAATTTAAATTAATATTTTATTTATTTTTTATTTGAACATGAAATGCAACATCATATGATACTTATATAAAGTAGTCTTTCATATCATATCATATATAGATTATATGATACTTTTATAAATATATAAATAGTTATTTATTTACTTAATGAAGATTTAATGAATCCAGAAACCAAAATACT